ATGTGCACCCATGTTTATAGCGGCACAGTTTGTAATAGCTAAAGCTTGGAAACAGCCCAAGTGCCCATCAACTGGAAACTGGATAAAGATGTGGCATTTTTTTTTAAATAAAATGGAGTACTACTCAGCCATAAAAATGATAATTACAGACATTTATAGCTAAATGGATGCATATTGAGGCCATATTCTTAAGTGAAATAAATAGGACACACGTGTATAAATACTGAATCATTTCTCTAGTGTGAGAAACTGATAGTGTAATTAAGGATTAAAATGATTAAAACAAATAATTGATAATTTGAAATAGGAAGAAAAGGTCCAAAGGGGCAGGGGTAGTGGGAGGGGAAGGGGAAAGGAAAGAAGGGAAAGGAAAAATTATGAGAAAAGAAAAAAAAAAAGGAAATGATGTCTATGTAAATAGGGAAGGGAGCACAAGTAATGGGGAAAAAATAAGAACTAAGGTACATCATGTACAGGTACAAGCACCCAATGATAAATGTAAATGTATTGTATACCTAAAATGTACCAATAAAAGAATTCAAGCAAAAAAAAATTCATAGTGTTATTTTCTTCTATTTCCCAGTAGGCTAGAATGTCCCAAAATAAAAAGATTTGGGGAAGGAGACTGATAAAATGCAAAGATAAAGGGAAGGCCAGATTGTATCTGGCCAGTCGCCTGGTTGTGATGGCCTCACGAGTTATTTTTTCTATTTAAAGATGCACCTATGTTGTGCTACCTTCTGCAAATGCAACCAGCTGGGACTTTAGGCATAGATCTCCTTTTGAGGGGTGCTTTTATTTATGGCAGGCAGAGATTATTTGGAACAAACGATGTTCAGGCTTTATATATTCTTCCAGGTCATGTTTGGAGCATGAAAATCAGGCCATTTCCTGTAAATATTTTGTAATTTTAATATTTTCCTTTATTGGCAAATTTCTAGAAAGGATGATACACATTTTAATATTTAAGCACTATTAATTTCAAGTCTGAAAATTCCAAATCAGGTTATTGAAAGCCAAGTTACATATGATTTTTAGGCTCTTTCGGAGGTCTATGGAAACCTGGTGTATCTAACAGCCTATATAGAGACTAAAGGCTGTACATATATTCCTGACTATGAAGTAGATTGTAAGTGAGATGTTATTACCCATAAGACTTGGTTCCACCTCAGAGGTTATAATTCTCCTTGGGAGAAGAGGGGAAGGGGATGAAAAAAGAATTAACATGTGTTTTGTGCATGTACCAACTCCCCATGACAAATGTAATCAGTATGTATGTATTGCAAACATGTACTAATAAAATTTTTTAAAAATAGACAAATAGAAATTTCCCAGAGAAGTATATCCTGCCATTAAATCAAACTTAAGAAGCTTCCTGTTCTCTTACTCAAAATAATTATTTTTTTAGTATGGGAAATAGAACCCAGAGGCGCTCTACCATTGAACTATATCCACAGCCCTTTTTAAATTTTATTTAGAGATAGGGTGTCTCTAAGCTGCCCAGGCTGGCCTCAAACTTGAGATCCTCCTGCCTCCTGAGTACGGGTTTATAGATATGCACCATCCAGTCCGGCTTCTAAGCAATTCTTGAACCGCAGGCTCTTTTCACTTATTTTCTTAGATCTATTCCTCACAATAAGTAAGTAGTGTGGATTCACTGGATGCTTCTGTCCAGTGAACTGTGTATCTCTAGTACTAGTGAACACTACAGATATCCTGCAGAGTATCTGAAAATAAACAGCTGTCAAAATATGCCATACGAAACAAAACATCAGCGCCATACTATCCTGCCAACAATTTGCAGTTAGTTTTTAATATATAAAAAAACTGATTTTTGTGTTTTAATTATCTAGCCTATTACTTCTCCCCTTAACTTGTTGATTGCAGATAGTAGTTGTTTGCAGGTTCTGTAGCATATTGTACATAATCAGTTGAAATTCCTAACATACAGTGTGAGAGTGTTAGCTTGAGAAACCTCTACATCCCCTCACCTTAAAAAAAATCTACTTTGAGTAGTGAGGGATTTCACATTTAGCATTAGCTAGTCTTACCCCAAATCATAATGAAGATGATGCCAATGAACATTTATTAGGGTATGTACCAAACAGTGGGGTTTCCAGGCATTATTTTATATAATCCTTCCTCCAGCCTTGAGAAGACTGAATAATATCTCCAACACAAGCAGAGAATTGCAGATCTAATTGTTATTTATTTTACTCTAAAATGTAAATGTCACAGAATTTAGAACTCCTGAGTAATGAAACTAGATTAAAGTTCAAGAAAATGTGTGGTGAACGATCACTCACAGAACTACTTGCTCTTCTAGTCTGTTCTGTGATTTTCTGCACAGATGTTGGGTGTCCAGGGTGCTGTGGCAAATTTTAATTTGTGCCAAATACTGAGGAAATGTGAGAGAGCCACTTCTGAGCTAATTTTGGTAAATCAGGACACATTTTCATAGTGAATAATCACCACATTAAACTAATTTTAATTTGCTCTCTGTTCCCTTGTTCTACCCTTCTTTACCAACTGATGCACTGTTTGCCTTTTAAATTTGGATAGTGATTTCACTTATTAGCTTAATTTAATACTTCCAAGGGCATTAGTCCTATTTCAACTGGAATGCCTATGCATGCTATTAATGTATATGCAGAGCACTCTTCTAACTATAGGCATTATTTCATTTGATAGTCACAGCAACCCCACAAGGTAGATGCTATTATTATTTCTGTTTTGCAGATGAGAAAACAGAGTCTCACTTAAATAACTGGCCCAAAGTCACAAGTCTAGTAAAATGTGGATGATCTGTATGTAAAATAAATTTTGCTTAACTTGATTCTGAAACCTATACTCTGTGCGGTTTATATCTTTGAAAGCTATGCATGTGTGTAGTTCCTGTGCCTCTGGTTGTTTCTTGTTCACAGCATCTTGTTTTTCTTCTCATGGTCTCGATATTTTCTCTCATGTCTCTGGTGATATCTTTAGAATTGTTATTTGCTTGCACAGTGTGTTTCTCCTAGTTTGCTCTTTTCTGATTGTGTTTATTTTCTCTAGCATTCATGCTATAGCAGAGATTCCTAGCTGTGAGTATGAGCAGAATTACCTAGGGAGCTCTCAAAAAATACTGATGGTTCTTCACTCAGATAATCAAATCCAAATGTCATCTACTGGAGCATATCTTTTCCAAAAGCTTACAGTTAATTTTATGTTCAGATTGGGGCAATCCTTGGATGTCTACATGTCTATATTTAAGAGTGGGAGACTAAGGCCCAGATGGCTTAATTGATACATTCTTTACAACATTTAAACAATAAATAGTATCAGTTTACACAAAATCTTTCAGAAATAAAGGATAGCCCCATTGAACTCACTCAGTATCACCCTGATACAAAAGTAATATAGAATGATTAAAAATACATATTTACAAGAAGACAAAATGCATGCCATGCATACATATGTAAATATATTCATATCCCTATGAGCACAGACCCAAAGATTCTTAATGAAATACTAACCAATGAGCTCTAGGAATGCAAGGTTGTCAATGTAATGCACCATAGTAACAAAGTAAATGAGAAATAATATTTCAATAGATGTAGAAAAATTTTTGAAAAAATTCAATATCCATTTATGATAACATTTTTCATCAAATTAGGAATTTCTTCAATCTGGTAAAGGCCATATATAAAAAACCCATAGCTACCATCATATTTAATATTGAAAGATTACTCCCTAAGGATTGGAGACAAAGCAGAGATGCAGACTCTCCCCATTGTACTACGAATCTCATATCTACAGTAAGGTAATAAAGGAAATAAAAGACATAAGGATTGGAAAGGAGGTAAGGCTATCTCTGTCCATGTACGCCATAAATGATTATGTAGAATATGCTAAGAAATCTGCAAACAGCTTTTACCTACAATTGTTAAGTTAATTTGGAGGAGGTCACAGGCTACAAGATCAGTATATAAAAATCATATTTTTTATATATTAAAAACTAACTGCAAGTTGTTGGTAGTATAGTAAGATTGGCTGATGTTTAGTTTCAGTATGGCATAGTTTGTTTAGTTGTTTCTCAGGACAACCCAACATCAGTATTTTATATCTGTATTCTTAGATTATTCCAGAAGAATTTTCCAATCTTCAGCCTAGAGGCAAATGTTTGGCTTCCAGAGTGCTGAAGGCTGGGCATTTCAACATTCAGTAAGTACATGTTTTCTTAATCCCTGTTTTTGGCTCTAAGACTACACTGTCAACTGTGCTTGGTGTTCCCAGTAGAAAGACCTTCCAGTTAATCTCTCCAGAGAATAAATTTATAGGCTTTCTAAAGCAAAGGAAGAGTTTTGTCTCAGTGGTGTGGAATGGTGGAAAGGTTCTGAGACTAATTTATTCTTGAGGCCCAAGAATAGGGTGAGGCAGGCTGCCTGGGGAAGTAGGCGTGACCTGTTAATGACAACAATCCCAGGACGAGAGCGAAGAACAGTTCCCAAAGTCCCCAGACGAGACCTGACACCAGCCTGAGGAGTGGAAATAAAAAAGGACAGCTTTTCCTTACCTGTTCTCTCACTGTAGCCTGCTTGAATCCTGTCCTTATTTTCCCACTTTCCAAACTCTGCATGCAGATCCTGTTTCTTTTCCTACCTTTAATAAATATAAAACCTTGCTACCATTTGCACTTGTCCTGACAAATTCCTTACTCAGGACAGAAAAAAACTATAAATCCCTTCTAGAAGGAGATTCCAGCACCCCCAAACCCAGTAACATTCTCACACATCTTCACTCAATCCTGCTGCCAGTCTCTGAGTCATTTGAAGATTTTATAGTAGATTAACTTGGGTCTCAGTGTTTTCTGATTCTAGCTTAGGATTCAGGTATGCTATACTGATTATTGCTTCTTGTTTTCTTTGTAACTTAAGAAACTGTTATTGCTGTCCTCTAATTTTGTTTCCCCTACCCTTGTATTTCTTTTTAAGAACCTCATTTTTTGATTGGATCTTTTATTGGGGAAATGGCCTAATTTTTTTTGAGTTCTTTATATATTCTAGATATTAATCCTTTGTCCAAAGTAGCTGGTAAATATTTTTTCCCATTCTGTAGGTTGTCTCTGTACTCCTGATTGTTTCCTTTACTGTACAGAAGCTTTTTAATTTGATGTAATCCCATTTGTTTCTTGATGTTGTTTCTTGTGCAATTGGCATTCTGTTCAGAAACTGTCTACAGCCATGATTGTAAGAGTTTTATGCATCTTATCTTCCAGTAGGCTAAGTATTTGTTTCAATATTTAGATCTTTGAGCCATTTTAATTTTATTTTAGTACACGGAGAGAGATATGGATCTAGTTTCAATCTTCTGCATGTGTATAGCCAGTTTTCCCAGAACAATTTCCTAAAGAGGCTATCTTTCATCCAATGTATGTTTTTGGCCCCTTTGTTAAAGATCAGGTGACTATGTCTGGGGTTGTTTCTGTGTTATCTGTTCTATTCCATTGGTCCTCATGTCTGTTTTTGTGCTGTTTTTGTACCATGCTGTTTTTGTTACTGTAGCTTTGTTATGTAACTTGGAACTCAGGAATGTGATGTCTATTGCTTTTGCTATTCTGGTTCCATATGAATTTTAGGACTGTTTTTTCTAGTTCTGCCAGGAATGTTGTTGGTATTTTTTTGGGGATAAAAAGAAAAAGACAGGGTTGGGGATTTAGCTCAGTGGTTCTGCAGCCTGCCTTGTAAGCACAAGGTCCCAAGTTTGATCCCCGGTACCAAAAAAAAAGAAAAAGAAAGAAAGAAAAAGACAGCTGAAATAAGTACACACTTCTCAGAAGTACAAATGACCAATAAATGTATAGAAAAGGTTTAACATTGCTACTCATTAGAGAAATGAAAATTAAAACAATATAGATTTAATCTTATTCCAGAAAGAATGGCAATCATCATGAAATCAAATAAAAACAAATGCTGGTGAGGCTACAGTGGGAAAAGGAACCCTTCTGCATTGTTGGTGGGAATGTAAACTACAACCATTATGGAAATAAGTATGGAGATTCTTTAAAAATCTTAAAATAGAAATTTCATTTGACCCAGCTATTCTTCTCTTAGGTATCTTCCTTTAGGAGTTGAAGACCTCATACTACAGTGATATATGCATAACCATGTTTATAGTAGCACAATTCAAAATAACTAAGTCATGGAAGCAGGCTGTATATCCAACAGATGAATGGATTAAGAAAACGTGGTATTACAAACAATGGAGTACTGCTTTGCTATAAAGAAGGATAAACTTAAGTCATCTGTAGGAAAATGGATGCACCTTGAATCCATAATTTTAAGTGAAATAAATCAAGACACACAAGCTTAAAAATCATATTGTTTGTCTTACACGAGAAACCAAAGTACAAGTAAGTCAAAGAACAAAATAAAAGATGGACAATAGGAAATAGGGAGATAGATCTTTGGCAAGTAGGAATGGACTAAGAAATGGAGGAGGAAGAAGGGAGGAGGGGAAGAGGAAGTAAAAAGAAATAAGATGTGTCATGTGTGAACCAAGTACCCACAATAAATATTTCATAATATACCCCAAACATGTACTAATGCAATAAAAAATTTAAAAAAAAATAAGTCCCATTGCCATATTTTCTATAAATTACTAAATAAATAATTCATGTGAAATTGAAATATCAAGATCACTGGCTAATTTAAAGGAATGACTTATTTTATAAAATATTTTTATAGCTCATGATATTTTATTATAATACATATACTTAAAGGAAGAATAATTGAATATCTTATTTGTAGAACTTGCTTTACATAGGACATCCCACCTTAGACTAGTTTTGTTATCTTCATTTAAAAACTCCATTTAAAAATAAATAAGCAGTTTTGCTCAGTATCAGTGTGATACTTTTCATTTAAATCTAACTTGCATATAAACCAAGCATGTATGCCTTCTGGTTATTCAAAAGAATTTTGGGTCACTATAGCCATGGACTTGAGAAACTAAAAACAACATTTTACATGCAGTCCTTATTAATTCAACAAACCTCAATCAAGTACTTACAATGAGAGAGGCACTGTTCCTACTGTTGAAGTGAGGAAAGTGAACAAAAGAGACCCAAATGTCTGTCCCTCTGAGGATTCCATCCCAGTCAGTAGATTTCTGATGTTAAATCAAACATAAAGAGAGAAAAAATAACTCTCAGTGAATTATTTAGAATATGGAGCCGGTGTTCATATTTAGAGATATTTCTTATTATACTTTTATCTGTATTTGTGACTTTGTAGTTGATATGATTAGCACATAGGATTCTGAGGTAATTAGGCTGTCGTTTTTTCACGATAACATTTCTAACTGAAGATGATTTTAGACAAATTTCTGAGATATGTACTCTATGGTAAAGTAAGTCAAAGTGAGAACTGAAGCAGAGTGAGACTATGAGGAGGACAATAAAATGAAGCTAAAAGGGGCCCCAATATATGAAATACATGTAGTAAAGTCCCATTGTTTGTAAGGATACATTAAACATACATTTTTCCCGTGTTTTCTGCAGCCATCTTAAAAATAAAAATATCTATTGTCATAAATAAAAAATAATCAGTGAATTAAGGCATATAAAATTACAAAAATTTATCCCATGAATCTTTATGAGAAGATCTTTGTTGAGAAATACAGCAGAAATCACCCTTTAAAAAAAAATAGAACCAGGAGTTGAACAATTGGACAATTTCTTTTACGTGGAATATGGTCTAATAATATTAACCTAACTTATTGAGTTGTTATGCAGAAGTATAAATTTAGAAAATCTCTCTCTATATATTTATTTGAAAAGAAGTCATTTTTTTATTTTCCATGAAGTTATGATAAAGCCACTAACATTTGTAGCTTACAAAATACTTTCATGTGTATTCTCTTCTAAGACAATTTCCAGGAAGATATCATGATCATCTTCATTTTAACCTGGAGTCGTACATGCTAAGTAACTTACCCTAGATCTTCTAGCCATGAAATGAGAAAATCAATTTAGAATAGTTTTAATCTCTAGCAATGAAAGATAAAATTTGAAAAAAGTTTTTTCATCACTAAATCTTATCTTCTTAGCAACATACCATTCTCACTATTTTGCCATATCTAGATGACTAAGAAAATGCTAACATATACAGTTTTTGAAAATGTCTAAGTTACAACATTGTTACAAATTACAAAGAGCATAAAGCACACTAATATTAATTGTAGAGATGAGTGAAATTTTCATATGTACATACCTATGTAGCAACCATCCAAATCAAGATACAGAATATTTCAAGCACCCTAGATGTTTCCTTTGTGCCCCTGTTGTTCACCACTCATTCTCCTAAAGATATTCAAATTTCTTATTCATTTGTTGATTAGTTTCATAAGTATTTTCAACTTCATGTCAATCAAATTATATTGACAAATTCATCTATGATGTGTGTAGCACTAGTTAGTTTCTCTTCATTTTTTAGAAAACAGCTTTATTGACCTACCATAAAATTTATACAATTAAATTATACAGCTTGGCAATTTATTATATTCAGAATTGTGTAATTATTACCAATATTTAATTTTAAAAACATTTTTAACATCCCTAAAAGAAATCTTATAGAAATTAGTAGTTACTCCCATTCTTATTTTCCTTCCCCACTGCAAACCTATCTTTCCCTCAGGCAACCACTATTCTACTTTTTGCCTTTATGGATTGGCCTACCTTGAGTAGTTCACATTCATGGTAGTATACATTATGTAGTTTGGGGGGCTGGCTTCTTTAATTTAGTATAATGCTTGCGAGGTTCATCTGTATTTCATTCTTTTTTATTGCTGAATAATGTTTCACTTTCTGAATGTACCACATTTGTTTATACATTCATCAGCTGATGGACATTTGGGTTATTTCTACTTTTTAGCCATTATTTTAAAAAGTTACCATGAATGTTCTCATTCAGATTTTTGTGTAGACATATGTTCTCCTTTCTCTATGGTATAAACCTAGGAGTAAAATTGCTGTGTCATCATCTATATTTAGCATTTTGAGGAAATGCCAAGCACATTTTGCAGTGGCTGCTTCATTGCACAGTCCTACAAGCAGGCTGTGAGCGTATTGACTTCTCCATAGCCTCACCAACACCATCTATTGTCTGTGTTTTTTATTATAGCCATCTAAGTGGGTATGTGATAATATCTCATTTTGGCTTTGA